GAGCCTGATGTGGGCCTCAAACTCACAAACCATGAGATCATGACCTGAGCTGAAATCAAGAGTCAGATGCCACCCAAGCGCCCCTCCTCACCTCTTTCGAAGGACGTGATAAGCGTGTTGGAATGGGAAATTTTCTTCCATCTTGAGTTGGAAGATTCTGTCTGTGGTATTTGAGATTTATTCCCCCAAACCCTAGAAGTACCTCCAGTAAAACTTGAACAAAACGTAACTACTTAATAAGCTGAAAAACTATATCAGTAGCACCTCTTTATTAAGAGAGACCCATGTTTTATTTATATGCATACACAGTCACACATACTTTCGTGCATAGGTGTATGTATGTGTTATATTATACTAACTTCATTACATATTGTGCTCATCTATATTATGTTAACGAATTTGTGTGTGGGTGCTGATCTTTTTTACTATTTTGTTGTTATAGTTCATAGAAGTAAAACATGAAAATATTTAAAGTAAAAAGAGAGGTCAGCAAGCCCTGGGCTTCTACATTTGCCAGCTGTCCTGCTTTGGGGGCAGTTTCCTTAAGTGCTCTGTTTTAACTCCGTGTGTCATTTGTGGAAGGACTGATTTCTTCATTGCGTGGAGTAGAGATTTCCCTACTCTGCTCCGTGGGACTTTGGAACTATACAGACATTCTCTGAAATCTAAGAAAATGTTTGAAAAACTACTTTAAAACTTCACTAACACACACCTGGAGAGCGTGACAGCTTTAGTTTGGGCGGCTCGCAAGGTCTCTCTGTACTTGGGATTATGTGTTTGTATCTTTCCTTCTCTTCTGTGCAGCCCACACGGCGTGGCATTGGTGACCGCCAGCATATTGCCTTATACTGATGGATTCGTTTAGTTTCGCTCTTAGGTAGCTCGTCTGCCCTGTCTGCCTTAATAAAGAACCCTGGATCACCGGGCAAGCTGTTAAAAAAACAGGTGCTGTTTGTAATCACTCAGCGGTTTGCATCGGGACTTTTTCTGGTAATGTGCAACCAGGGGTATATCAGCAGATCTGACCCTGCAATTAGCATCCCCAACCCTGGGTGTCAAATGTTCAGGCTTGTCAAATAGCTTTGTTGTTCCCAACGATAGATAATGTAGTGAGACTATGATATAAATTGAGCTCATAAGATAAACACTACTCTTCTCTGTGCATAGGATTCATTTGGAAGAATAGTTGTGCTGTTGAAAATATTTGGAAGCCACTGAGACAGTGAAAAGAGCACAGATTTTATAGGCAGTCAGTTCTAGGTTTGAGCCCAACTTCCATAGCTTACTGGTGAGATGACCAAGGGCAAAGTAATTTGGTTCCCAGAGTAATGCCATCTGTAAATTGGGCCTGCTCACTACCAGGCAGGATATTTTTGATGATTACAGAGAAATGTAAAAATGGACCTAACCCAGGGCCCGATGCATAACAAAAAGTTCAGCGAATGATACCCATTATAAAGCTTTTCATGCTGGAAATTAAAGTCCCCATATTTCTTGCCTGGCCATTAAGAGCTACCTTTTTACACTATGGAAAGACATCTCTCCAGTTTATTTGCATGTATTTGCGTATTTGCTTAGATGGTGAACATATGCGTATACATAGTGTGTACATATCCTGGTAAATGCATTTTCATATAATTTAGAGATGTTTTAGCAGACTGGAGTGGCACGTTCTTTCCGATGCATTAAGTTAATTTCCTTTTCTTTCATTTTCAAAGCGTGTGGAACCTTAACAGAAGAATTTATTGTACTTTAGTTTTTCCTAGTAGGGAAAAAAAGAATCAAACAGCCGATGGGAACTGCTTTTATGCATTGGGGCTCCAAAGTGCCGCTTTATTTTTATGTACAGGCTCTTTGTGGGTGGACTGCAGAAATCCCTGCTCTTGGAAATGTTTCTGAGCCCTCTGGGAAACTGAACAGGGAAAAAAGAACTAATTAAAAAAGCTGCCATCCGCCTCCTCTAATTAACTTGCTCTCTGCTCCTGGGAGAGGGTGCGGAAATGTGAAAATAACACAGGCATCCCCGGAAGTGAATGCCATTCTTGTGGTGCACGGTCGCCCCGTGGTGTTTTGATGCAGAAATGATTTGTGGCAGACAAGCAGGGAAGCACAAAGGGGCTCCGTGTGCCCTCTGCCTCTCTCACGGGGCAGTGGCGAATGGTGGTTCCTTCTGAGCAGGTGTGCCGGCCGGCCGGCCAGCCAGGCAGCTGCAAGCAGAGGAGACCTCATTGGAATTCAGCAGCTCAAGCCCAAGAGCATCCGGCCCTCCCTGTTGCTTGCTTGTGCTGTTAGGAAAGAGCAGGGGCCCTTTGCGCTCTAAAGCCACACATCGTCACGACCCAGGGCTGCAGAAGCCAGGGGAAGAGCTCGCAGCCTCTCGCCCTGTGTCTCCACTGCACTCTGGGGAAGTTCACGGCATCCTTGGCTGGCGGTGCTGCTAACTTCTTCCTGGCATCTGGCATTTTGGACAGATTTAGATCCCCAAGACAAGGGCAAGGGAATCAAGGGTGGTTTTGGGGAGCGGAGGCTGTCCTTCAGCAGAGATGGCTTTTGCCCCCTGGCGGCTGTGGCCCCTGGTGGAATGGGCCCAGTGGATGTGGACAGCAGTGGCGAGCAGCGGCGATGCCAGTCTGATGCCCCTCCAAGAAAGTTCCGGAAAGAGGCAAGTTGGCTTTGTGTGTCTTGTCATGTTGCCCCTGACACATTCTGTGCTGGGGGACAGGGTGACTTCCAGCACCCACCAGGGTGATCCAAACTCTTACTCCTCTTTGATGTTCCGTTGTGTAACTTCCTTGTGTTTTTCATGCCAGTTAACAGACTCAGCAAAACTCAGGTACTTCGATCTGCTGTTGTCCGAGTGTGTATCTTCACTTCGCTAGACAAAAGCAAAGGCCTTTAAATATTAATATTCACATTTGTGCTCCCGTTTGCATGGAGCGAGTCTTTACTCAGGAAACCTGATAGGGTGCGGGCTTTAAGCGGCTCATCGGATCTCATCAAAAGCAGATCTGATATTTCTGTTCGTCTCTTCGGGTCCCCCGAGGGCTTTGTGGCTTGCTGGAGGGGCTGGGGTTCTTGGGGATGGGGGACAGGGTCTTTGGCACTGATAAAATGAGTCACTAACGGGTTGTAAAAACAATCAATGTAGAGTTTTCTCTGAAGGGGAACTCACCAGAGGCTCTTCTTTCCTGTGCCGGCTGACTGTGGAGGGACTGGCTGGGTTCCTGGCTCTCTCTGCCGGCTGGCAGATGGTCTTCGGAAGACGCTGCCCTCTACCAAGGTCACTGGTCCTCTGACCCTGGCGAGGGCTCAGCAGTGTGAGCACCTTGTGCTCCGGTGCTCACCTGGTCTGTCACCCTCTGATTCTAGACGTCTTCACCCAGATTTGCCCGCTGGGCCACTGTGTCAGCCCGGAACTAAGTAGCCGCCCTCTTGATCATTACCTTTCTTGTTGGAAGTGAGTATGTGGCCTTTTAGGTCCTGAGATGCTAAGGGGCACCCCAGGGAATGCTGTTGCTTCTTGCGCTCTGGCATCCTCACAGTGAGCTTGGGCCAGGCCCGGGGACCACTGGGCATCTGGAGCCAGGGAGGAGCTGTCCCCCAGCTTCAGGTCACACGCCCAGCTCCAAGATCTGCAGAGGCCTCATTCTTTCTGGCTTAAAATTGAGCCCCCTGGAGAAGGAGGGTGATGCAGAAGGGCCGTCCGCTCAGGGTTTTCTGGAGCCCAGGACAAGGCTTTAGTTAACTGAGCGGCCTCCCCCTTGTTACTGGGAGGGGCGTCGTCTGGGTGGAATTTGGGGCCAGTTCTCTGGGTGAAGAATCTTCTCCAGGGCAGAGGGCAGACCCTCCTACAGGGCAATGAGGGTCATTATCATATCATTGGGGTCAGCAAGCTGTGTTTTGTGTCTAGGTCTGGCACATCCTCCAGTGAGCTAGCTAGCTTTCTTTCCTTCTTTTCTCTCTTTCTCTCTCTCTTTCTTTCCTTCTTCCTTCCTTCCTCTCTCCCTTTCTCCTTCCTTCCTTCCTTCCTTCCTTTCTTTCTTTCTTTCTTTCTTTCTTTCTTTCTTTCTTTCTTTCCTTCTCCCTCCCCCCTTTCTTCCTTTCTTTCTCTTTTTCTCTCTTTCTTTCCTTGCTGCCTGCCTTCCTCCCTTCCTCCTTCCCTCCTTTCTTTCTTTTCTTTTCTTTCTTTTTCTTTCTTTCTTTCTTTCTTTCTTTCTTTCTTTCTTTCTTTCTTTTTTCCTTCTGTCCTTCCTTCTTACCTTTTCTCTTTCTTCCATCCTTCCTCGTTTCCTCCTTTCTTTCTCTCTTCCTTCCTCCTTCCCTCCTTTCTTTTCTCTCTTTCTTTCTTTCTTTCTTTCTTTCTTTCTTTCTTTCTTTCTTTCATTCAACAGCTGTTTATTCACTGCCTTTTGGTTCAGGCTCAGATGCTGTGATAAGCAAGACTGGCTGCCATCATGGCCTTGAAGCTCAGTTGATAAGAGAGATAATTAACATAATCCGAAGGTGAATAAGTCTATAATGAATTATGAGGAGCTGTGGGAAGGAAGGACAGTGGGAGAGAACGACCGGGTGGGGAGAGGCCATATGAGACTTGGTTTCCTGCAGTGGGGATCCTGTGGTGTGTTGGAATCATGGCGGCAAAACGTGTTCCTGGGAATATCAATTTGGCTGAATTGACACCAGGTTGATCAAAAGATTCCCGTCTTTGTATTTGCCGCTAAGGCCAGAAATACGAATTTTTCTTAGAGCTAAATTCAAAGCCTATATCCTGTGGGCACAAAGCTGGCGATAATGAGATTCCGTCTTGGGAATCATGCTGGGAAATGACTTTCCTCATGTCTGTCTTCAAACAGTCACATTGGGCAAGCCTGATTCTAGTGGTCCCGGTGGGGGGGGGGGTGTTGTCAAAGTGCTCAGCAGCACTGGCCCCCGGCCCCTCGGAGCAGACTCGGCCCCGGCTGCCGCCTAACCTTGCGTTTCTCCCCTCCTCTTTCCACCAGGAGTTCTGACTCTGAAGAAGCTTTCGAGACCCCCGAGTCGACGACTCCTGTCAAAGCTCCACCAGCCCCACCTCCGCCGCCCCCCGAGGTCACTCCAGAACCTGAGATCAGCGCACAGCCTCCCCTGGAAGAGCCAGGTACCCAAGGTCAGGTGCTCCCTGGGGGAGTTTGGAGGCAGCCCTGGGCTGGGGCGGCTGGAGAGGGGCACCCACTCCCGGGGACCATCGCTGGCGCTTCTTAGGCACTCCCCAGGCTCTGCTGCCTCCGCTGTGGCCTGTGTTTTGTGAATGAAAACCAAGAGTGAGCAGATAGAGTGGATTATTCTGTTTGCTTTGAAGATGTCTGGGGGAAGCCTGTGGAGAAACCCCTCGGCATCCAGAATTGAGTTCGAGGGGGCAAGTGGATCTGGGAGGTTTCTGTTTGGGACTCTATCTTGGATTCTAGCATTTGACCCTTGGGTCCCATAAGAACACCGGTTCTTTCTGGACAGCCCACAAGAAACTGCATTTGTATTTAAGACCGTAGGCCCCGTGGGCTTGGGAATGGAGACATGTGGTAAATGGGAAAGAAGAGAAAGCCGTGGATAGCCAAAAGCACACATGGTTGGTTCATTATTCCTCATTAACCACAAGTTACCTGACTTCATATCACTTTCTCCCCTAGTGGGAATTAAATCACAGACCTTTCCTTTCAGATGTGGTGCTTCCTGGAGGTGGTGGAGGGAGGCGTGGGACAGGGCTCGTTCCCTGCCTGCCCACCCGATGGTGCTCCCTGCATGCATCTTCCAGTTACACCCGCGGGGCTGGGACCACCTCTGGCCTGAAGGTTTAACGTGAGACCAGGAGGGAAGGAGATAGGGACTGCCAGTAATGGCCCCACAGGCCGGTCAGGGGCCACATGGTCCCAGAAATGATTCTTCAGGCTGGTCAGGAGTCAGATGGTTCCAGAAATGGCCCAGCAGGCTGGTCAGCGGGCCAGATGGTACCATCCTTAAACCTGGACTACCCACCTGCTTTGGCCCCTGTAGTTTAGAGGGCCCCACTCTGCCTTCCTCCAGCCACAGCCCTGGCTGCAGTGCAGTCTCCTCTTAGACCCCTCTCGGGCCCATCTTCCCAGGGCTGACCGTACCCATGTTTATACCTCTCGGCCAAGGAGGAGCCAAGGATGGGCCTGGGCCCTACAGGTGGGGTGTCCACACACTTGTGCTCAGGGCCACTCCAGGTGAGGGATGGGGCTTGGGTGAGTGGAGAAGGAACAGGCTGACGGCCGGGCCCCCATTCACATTCTTGCCCCGGCCGGGAGCCAGGTGAACTGTAAAATGCAATAACATTTTGATCTTTTGATCTTGATGTTGGTTTTACAAAGAAATGGCTAGTGTTCTTTTTACCTGCCCTGGGTTCAAACAGACCCTTACTTTAAAAAGTGTTAGATACTCCAAGGCTAACCCAGGAAATACACTCCCCTGCCCTTAGGGGAAAGGGTTAGGACCATTTTTAGGGAGGGCAGATGGCCTTGCTGGCATCTGACAAGTGCAGATTTCAGATTCCCCCATCTTACACAGCTCATCAGCTAGTACCATCTGATTCTGCATGGCCAGTCTGGGTGCTGGGCCCCAGGGAGGGGAATTCTGGCATTTTATTTGATTTTGAGGTGGAGAAGGAGCCAGAAGTCCTGCTGAGAGTCTTTAGCCTTACCATGGTTTTTTTCCTATTATAAAACACATAAAAATTCTTTTCCTATAATATCGCAAAAAAAAAAAAAAATCACCCTTAGGTTTAATGGAAAGTGAATGACAGATGATTGTAATTCCTAGGTCAAACATGTGAATCGGAATAAACTATCCTTTTTGGGTGGGTACAAGTTCATGCCCACAAATGGGTGGGGTACTTTAGGAAAGAGTTTGGAAGAAGATGATGGTGTATTATGGTGTCCAGTCCATCCCCAGGCACCAAGGAGTGACTGGGGAAGGCCATTGCTGTGAGCAACCGTGTACCCTCTAGGGCTTCCGGCCACGTGTCCTGACTGCCTCTGGGGATGGTTTGGCGCTTCTGTTCTTTCTGCGGCCGGCCCTTGTTCCTTCTGCCTGACTTGCTTTCCAACAAAGCAAAGAACAGTCTCCATTCTTAAAACCAAGCCCGCACGCGGCACCCTCCTCTTTCTTAGACGGCAGTGTCTGAAAGGAGCATTGTGGGGGATTAAGAGATAACTGCCACCCAGAAGGGGTTGGAGCTGGTGATTGCCGTGAGTCACAGCCCCACGGAACTTCTGATCACACCCGTTGGAGTCTTTGAACAGGGACTTTATGCTTCTCCATCCCAGAAAACTCCAAAGAAGCTAAATATATGTGGATCACACAATGCGGACTCTTATGGTTGGGATTGTGACTGCTGAACGCCCCCCTGGCTTCAGCCGTACAGATTTCCTTTTGATTTGCTGCACTTGTTAGAAACGTCTGCTCATCCATTCTGCAGACAGCATGGGGCACAGCAGAGGCCCGGGGGGACAGGTGTGCCTGCTTTCAGAGGGGGTTAGAGGGGAAGAAAGGTTCCCTCCGAGAACCACAGGAAAGAAAGGGCAAAGGGCGGGTGTCTATTGTTTGGTTTTCATCTGCAGAATGCCTGGGATGTTGCTCAAGGGGCCAGAAGAGCCACACGAAATAACAGACTAGACCCTCGGCTCTGAATAAAGACATGATTTGCCCTTCTGGAAACCCACGTTGTACAGGACAATCAGCTTCTGTACCCGGGTCCTGCCAGCTGTTTGTGCCCCGCCCCGGGACTGGAGGATGAGCTGCTCTCTGCTCACCTGGCCCTCATCGGGGCCGTGCCTGGATGCAGCCTGTCTCAGCCCAGTGTTCTTGTCTGTAAAATGAAGAGGGCAACCTACCAGTCCTCCGAGTCTCTGACCTTCCCTGGTTCTGAGATTGCAGTGCATGGCTGCTGTATGTTGGCCTTGTTATTAGAGCTCAAAGCCGGTCAACGAGGCACATAAGTCAGTGTCACTTAATTAAGTAATAGCTCCGGCTTCAGTGTCCCCCGTGTGCCGGGCCGACGCTGGGTTCTTTGTGCGTTTCATCTCCAACTCAGCCGAGAGCCATCGCCTGTGCTCACAGCACCCCTGCGCGTCCGACAGTATCACCTGCTTCCCCAGCGAGATGCGGGCCTTCCCGACCGCGCCCTCCATCACACCGCACGCAGGGGGCTCTGGGAGCGGAACCCAGACCCCTTGACTCCCTTCCGTTTGGGAACAGGGCTGCTGTCTGCGGGTGGAGTGAGCTGGTGCCCCTAAGTACCCGAGGCGGGGGATGGGCAGGCAGTCGTCCCGTGGGCAGCAGGCAGATGGCCCACGAAGGAGACTCTTCCGTGATGCCAGAGTAGATTCTTTCCATGGTTGTCCTCCCTCTGGGGACACTGCACCCCCCTAGGGTGAAGCCTGTTCTCACCCTCGCCAGGAGACTGCCCAGTGCCAGGAAGGCCTCAGAGGTGACTGGAGACGCTGTGCCCTGGGTGCCCTGGACCCCTTCTCTCTGCCCCATGGAAAGGGTGGCCTTTGCTGAGGCACTGCTTGTGTTCCACGTGGTGGTTCGTGGCCACGGTCTTCAGATTGACTCAGAGAGGAGCTCGGCACACCTCGTGGCTTATGTGCCCAGTCGGACCATGTCTCCATACTCATTGTCATTCCTCTCCCCCAAGGTTGCTGTGCAGGGGTGTCCCCGCAGAGAGACAGGGAGGCAGCTGGGAGCCCAGCCTGCGGCGGGGGCACGGGGTGGGTGGCGCTGCGGGCCATGCAGGAGCTGGGGGCCCCGGCTGCCCCGTGCAGGTGCTGCTAGGCCCCCTGCTGGTGCATCTGGGGATCTCCCTTTTCATCCTCCCAAGAACGCCCGCCTTACCGCTGAGGCTCGGAGGAGTCACAGATGGGAGGAGGGTGGGTGCGCGGAGAACCTGGAGGGGCCCTGAGGCTCCAGACGTACACTGACCTCCCTTAATGACCTCATCAGAGGACCTGGCTGCACTCTGCCCAGCTCAGTGGCCCGACGGCCCGGTGAGTCACAAGAATATGTTCATGGACCCCACACACCCAGGCAGGTGGCTCCCTCTCTACTGGGGCAGGGTATAAACTGGGCTCCATATATGTTTTCCTGTTATAGATCCCTTTTTTAAAATATGTATTTATTTTTTTATTTAAAAAAAATTTTTTTTCATGTTTTATTTATTTCTAGGAGAGAGAGAGAGACAGCGTGAGCAGGGGAGGGTCAGAGAGAGAGGGAGTCACAGACTGAAACAGGCTCCAGGCTCAGAGCTGGCAGTAAGCACAGAGCCAGACAAGGGGCAAGAACCCACGAACCGAGAGATCAAGACCAAAGCGAAAGTCGGACGCTTAACCGACTAAGCCACCCAGGCGCCCCGATATGTATTTATTTTTGAGGGGAGGGAGGGGCAGAGGGAGAGGGGGACAGAGGATCACCAAAGAGCTCTGTGCTGACAGAAGAGAACCCGATACGGAACTCGAACTCACAAACTGAGCAGAAGTTGGACCCTTAACCAGCTGAGCCACCCAGGCGCCCCTGTTACGGATGACTTTTGATAAGAATAGAACAAGGGCTCTTGGGTGGCTCAGCTGGTTAAGCATTCGACTCTTGATTTCAGCTCAGGTTATGATCTCACAGTTGTTTGTGAGATCGAGCCCCTTGTTGGGCTCCGTGTTGGTCATGGAGCCTGCTTAAGATATTCTCTCTCTCCCTTGCTCTCTCTCAAAAAAAAATAGAGAGAGAGCATAGAACAAGTAGCAATTGTGCGCCTTTTCTTTGCAGCAGGCACTGTTAAAAGCATGACCTAATTTCTGCAGCAGCTGGGAGGTGGATCTGGGGCCGATGACAGTGAGGCACAGCGGGATTAAGGGGCTTTGGCCAGGGTCACCCAGCCGATCAGCGGCAGAGCCAGGGTTCATGTAGCTGTGGACTCGCACCGACTCCTCTTGGTCAGACGGGGGGTGTGATGTCATCCTAGTGATGTATCTGGACATTATCTTCTTCAGCTTGTGTAGAGAGCACTTTTCTAGATCCGCTGGTCTCATCCCCACCATTACGCTTGAGGGAAGGAGGGAGGGAGGTCTGGGGACCCAGAGGCTAAAAGGAGCA